TCTAAAATAAATAATAATAAAGCCATCAAAAGCAAGGATGATTAGCAGACAATTTTGAAACAGCGTTTACTCAGGGATAGGAATGAGAGTGAAGTTATTTTTCTGACACTGAGGGGTTGCCACATGAATGTTAATTTTGTAAGTGTTTTTTTATACCTTTGCATTATATGTACTCTTTTATATATTACACATATCACAGCAAACAAGACAAGGAGGAAGAAGGGGAAAACAAAGGAAACGATTTGCTCGGCTTACAAAGGGCAGCCACGTTTTGTGGCATTTTCAAAAGGCGAAGAAACACTATGCCTACCACGCACAGGCACGGTTCTAAATCTTTTTACGTGCGTGAACTAACTGAGCCTCGTTGTGACTGTATGAGATAGATCCCCCTTTTACAGATGAGGAAACTGAGGCTGAAGAGGGTAAGAAACCTGCTCCAGACCACACAGACACTTGGTGTCGGGACCGGGGCTGACACCTGCCTGGTGCCGCCCATTGCTTTGACCACTTTGCAGTCATGCTCTCAGTGTGTTCTAGATGATCAGGATTTATTGTTCTTTAAAATAGCTGTGGTTTCGTTTGACTCCCAGTTTTCTGCCCTTGTCCAATAACAGGGCATGGGGCTTTGCTTGCAGTGGCCGTAGATACATCTGTGACCTTCAGAGGAAGTCACTGGCAAGAGGGTGCCCTGCCTACCTGGGTGGTTCTCCTTTGCTTTCGCACAGACCGACTTTTATTTCAAGCCCAAACAGCGCCGACAGCTTTAATGAAAGTCCAGTTGGGTTCCTAGTTGCTCTTCCTGGCCAGAACCTTTTGCTTGGCTTAGAGTTTGAACCTGCTCAAAGGCTCTGTTCTGGCTCTCGGGAGAGCGGAAGCGGGAGCCCTGCCCTAAGGCATCTCAGAGGGACGCAGTTGACCGGAGGACGAACTCTGCTCGGCTTTAAGCATCTGAGGGTGGATCCTTCCCCCTCCCTGCTGAGCAGACAGCAGTTACTACTGAGAGACACTGCCGCAAACGGCCCAGTGAATTAGGAGCCCAGGTCCACTTCCAGCTCTGCTTCTGATTTGCAGCGCAGTTTTGGGTGTGTCTCAGCCTGCCTTGACCTTTGTTCATCTACTTATAAAACGAAGGATGAGTAAGTGCAGCGTTTCCCGGGGCTTTATACCTCTGGCGCCAACCTGGATGCGCACGGCTGTGCCCCTTCACACCTGCACCTGAACAGCCGTGCCCCAGGGAGCACGGCACCCAGCAGGGCCGGCGGGTCCCAGTGCGCTCAGATGCATGTCCCAGGGATGAGGTCTGCCTGGTCGCATCACCAGCTCCAAGTGCACCCCACACTGCCCCCCGGTCCTGACGCTGGTCTGGTGAACTCCGTTCTCTGCCCCAACAACCGTTTCACACCTTCCCCAGTCTTCTCAAACCCACTCTTCCTCCTTGCTCTCAACAAACCGATCTCCCTTCCTGCTGTATGTACCAAGAGAGAAAAGAAGAGAAAAGAAAAGAATCAGGTTGGAATTTTCTAATCCTCCTGATGCCAGAATTAAGCTACCTGCCCTAACCTACCTACCTTGCACCCAGCCGACTCTCCTTTCCCTGCCCACAGTGGAAGACGCCGTATTCCCAGTGGTACTTTGGATGCCCCCAGCCCCTCTGTCTCTGTACCTTGTTCTGTTACGTATTCCTCGTCTCTCTCATGCACTCAGCCTCTGCTCACCTGGATCCTTCCCACTGGCCTTAAACACCCAAGTGTCTTTTAACAAAACAAAACAAATTGAAACAAAACACTCTCACTCAGCTTTTCACCGCTTTCCAGCTACCATTTTTCTCTCTTCGCAGAACTGACCTTGTCAGAGTCGTCTGCACTGGGCATTCCCATGTTTTCCACTCCCACTCACATGTTAACCGACCCAGTCTGGCTTCTCCCCCCTCAACCCTCCAAAGGAAGCTTCCTCTACCCGCTGCCTTTCTGTACATGTGTATTTCAGCTGCATCTCATCTAAATAGCATATGGTCAGATATTTTTAAACTCAGTCATAGTATGTGGTCTGTTCTGTTGTAATTACTGATATATTTTGGTTTAAATCTATCTTATCTACTTGTTTCCTATTTTTTCTGTTATCTATTTGTGGTCTGTCTTTTCCTCCTGCTCTGGTACTCTCTCTACCCCACTCCTTTTTATGAGTCTTTGGATTAATCATGTCTTCTGGCTTTTATCATTTCTGTTGGGAAGTCAACTGGCTAAATATTATTGTTTCCTTGATCAAAGGTAATAGATCCTTTTTTTTCTGCCTTTAAGAATTTGTCTTTGAATTTTCAACAACTTTATTATGATGTACCTATGTTTAGTTTCATTTTTTAAAAATATTTTTCTTCTTTAATCTGTGGTTTATCACCTCTTGTTAGTCTTGAAAAATTCTTAGCCATTATGTCTTCAAATATATCTTTGCCCCATTTTTTCTCCATGTAAGACTCCAAACTTATAATTTTTCATTATATCCTATACGTCTCTTTCACTCTTTATTTTCTATTCATTTTTTTCTCTGTGCTCCATTCTAGATGTTTCTATTGACTCATTTTCCAGTTTACCAATCCTATCTTCAGCTATGTCTGATCTTATGTTAAATTAATTTGTAGAGTTCTTAATTTCAGTTACATTACTTTTTAGGCCTTAATTTATATTTGATTCTTTATTATAGATTCTAGTTCTCTGGAGAAATTCTTCTTCTTGTCCTATATTTTCTTGACCATATTAATCATAGTTATTTTATAGTTCATGTCTTATAATGCGGTTATTTGGATCATCTATGGGTCTGTTTGTATTGTGGGTTTTTTCCCCTCTGTTTTTGGTCACTTATTCCTGGATCCTAGGAACTTAGGATGACCAGCCACCCTGGTTTACCCAGGACTCTCCTGGTTTTAGCACTTCAAGTCCCGCATCCAAGCAAATTCCTTAGTCCTGAGAAAACTGGGACAGTTGGTTACCTTTTAGTCCTAGTATGCATGGCCATTGTTTATTGAATGCTGGACATGATATATGAAAAACTTGAGACTCAAAAAGATGTTATCTTCCTTCATAGAGAATTTACTTTTGCTTTCAGCAGACAACTAGAGTTGAGTCAAATAGTCTTTATCCAGTCTGGGGTTGAGCTAATTGAAAGCTGGGTTTTGGCTTTCGAGAACTGGTCCATTTCCAGTTGATTCTTCTTCCTAGTAAGAAAGCCTTTGAGGGGTCCCAACTGAAAGTCTAGATATTTACCAAGCCCCTTCTCTGTGGTAGGCCCAAACTCTAGTTTTTTTCACTCTAGTATGTTGAAACTTCTAAAAGCATTCTTAAGCTTCTCAGCCTCTCGGCCACTTCCAATTCAACAAACACCTTGAGGGAAAAGCAGCATCTCGTGTCTCTCTCACCTCGGTGTATTTCTCTTTCCTCAGGAACTTAGCTCAAGTTCTGCATGCCTTCACAGCCTTGAATGCTAAGTTTTGTCTCCCAGCCCTGTCAGACTGTTAAAAACACTTTGCTCAGCTTCTGAGTCTCTTAGCTGTTTCATTTAAATTGACTTCTTGGCTTCCAGCCCTGCATTGCTTACCTAGGTTTAAATGTCTTGAGAGGAAAAGTAGGTCAGGATGTCAGACTTGAGTCAGTGTGCTTCTCTTCTCTGTAGTGTCTTGGACCCTTATGTCCTGGCTGTCTTAGTAGCTATACAACGTCTTAAAACAATTCATTTGGTGGTTTGATTCAGCTTTCTGATTGTTCTTGGCAGAAAAGTTGGTGTAATACAGTTTAGTCTGGCATAGCCTGAAGCACAGTCCCATGATGAATGCCATTTTAGTTATCAGAATTTTCTAGCACCTCCGTTTGTCTACCTGGTTCTTTTTCCAGGCAGCTCACACCTCTTGCCAAGCTCCGCTACCCATTCTCTCCTGTCTTCAAGTTTTGCACCTCACTCATTCACGCTGTCTTACCATTCTGTGCCTTTTTGAGTGTGTAAAAATTTTAAATTGTTTTACGTTTTAACACTTGAGTCGTGTTGGCAGATGATGTTTTTCAGAGCCAGTGACTGGGTGTGGTGAAGCTGGTTGTGTTCTCAGCATTAGTTAATTCAGGTTTAGTCCCTCTGGCGAGTTGTTGGTGTGGTTTTATTTTTCTCTCTCTCTAGTGCTTCGGCTCTCTGCCCCCTGGCTTGCTTAGTTTCTTTTCAGGATGTTTGTAGTGTGGAAGAGCTGGTCGGATATTAGTAGAAATCAGTTAGGTTTCTCTGTTCCTATCAAGTCAGCACTGAGACTGGCTGCACGCAACGGTGGCAGATTTAAGCACATTCAGAGTGGTAAGGTGGTTTACTGTGTCTTTTAGGCACAGGCATTCTGTGTTTCTCACCTGCATCATGTAAGCTTGGAAAGCCCTCGTTTGTGATGGTAGTTTTTTATTTTAGATACCCAGAAAAATTTAATGCAACGTATTGTGACCTTTGACTGCACACTTCACACACCTCGTGCCGTTTATTTCTCACCATAACCCATGGGATCGGTATAATTTTTTCCAGTTAGACTCTGACACAGCTAGTGAGTAGCAAAACCCACATTTGAATCCAGGTCTATCTGATTCCCAACCACAGATCCTTAGCTCACACAGTGCTACTGTCTGCACGGCTGTCCTGCCATGGACATTATCTGCCCTCCTGAGGATTCCCTTGCAGAATTGATAAGGAGATAACCATTTCACTCCAAGTGATTCCGTGTTAAAGAATGAGATTGTGTAACCTTTACTGCCAGGCAAAGATCACATCTGGTCAAGACACGTCTTCTGAGGATTCCCTGTCTCCTTGGGATGGGACACGTGGCAACTTACTCTGGCAAAGTACAGCTGGTGCATGATTAACTAAACGTGAGGCAGGATGCATGCTCTGTGAACTTTGATTTATTTGTTATCTTGAAACCAGAACTGCAAAAAAAAAAAAAAAATGAATTTGAAGTAATTTATATCTGTCCTTCTTGATTTTAGGGAAGTTTAATTAGCATTAACAGCACTTGTACAGAGATGGGCAATTTTGACAACGCTAGTGTCACCGGAGAAATCGAATTTGCCATTGGTTATTGCTTCAAAACCCATTCTTTAGAAATATGCATCAAGGCCTGTAAGAACCTTGCCTATGGAGAGGAAAAGAAGAAAAAGTGCAATCCGTAAGTTTTTTTTTTTAAGTTTGACATATTCTGAAATTTAAATGAAAAAGCAAAAGTCCAAGAATAACCAAGACAATTGTAAAAATGAACAAAAGGGAAAAGACGTAGTTCAATAAGTATTACAAAGCTATAGTAATTCAAATAATGTGTTCTTTTTTTTTTTTTTTTTTTTTTGAGACAGAGTCTCGCTTTGTTGCCCGGGCTAGAGTGAGTGCCGTGGAATCAGCCTAGCTCACAGCAACCTCAAACTCCTGGGCTCAAGCAATCCTTCTGCCTCAGCCTCCCGAGTAGCTGGGACTACAGGCATGCGCCACCATGCCTGGCTAATTTTTTCTATATATATATATTTTTAGTTGTCCAGATCATTTCTTTCCATTTTTTAGTGGAGACGGGGTCTCGCTCTTGCTCAGGCTGGTCTCGAACTCCTGACCTTGAGCGATCCACCTGCCTGGGCCTCCCAGAGTGCTAAGATTACAGGCGTGAGCGACCACGCCCGGCCCAAATAATGTGTTCTTGATGCAAAGATCAAGTAGGTCAACAGAGCAGCGTCAAAGTCTAGATGCAAACCTTAGCATCTGTGAAAACCCATGTGACCAAGGAGTGTCTTTGTTTATTCCGAGAAGCCCAAGATCAAGGTGCTGGCAGCTTTGGTGTCTGGCGAGGGCCCTCTTTCTGGTTTGTAGATGTCTGTCTTCTTGTGTCCTCACATGGTGGAAGGGACAAGGCAGCTCTCTGGATCCCCTTTAGGAGGGCACCAGTCTCATTCATGAGGGCTCCACCCTCATACGGAATCACCTCTCTTAATACCATGCGTTGCGGGTTAGGCGTCAACATGTGATTTTGTGGGGGGGACATAAACATTCAGTCTATTACAAATCAATGGGGAAAAGATGGACTTCCTAAATGATGTTGGGAGATTTGAGTTTTCATACAGGAAAAACAAAATTAAAATCTTGCCCCACACAATCCATAAACAGATTAAAAGTTTTTTCCAACTGAGAGATACAGTGGTATATCACCATTATTTTAATTGCATTTCCCTGATTACTAACAAAGATGAGCAACTTTTTCTGTATGCATTGGCCATTTAAATTTCCCCTCCTGTGAACGTTATGTTCATATCTTTTGCCCATTTTTCTATTGGATGGTTTATCATTTTCTTATTTATTTACAAGCGTTTTTATTTATTTAAAAAGATTTTTTTTAGAAACAGGGTCTCTCTTTGTCACCCAGGCTGGAGTGCAGTGGTGTGATCATAGCTCACTGCAGTCTCAAACCCCCGGGTTCAAGCAGTCCTCTCTCTTTGGCCTCCCAAAGTGCTGGGATTACAGGCATGAGACACTGCACCCAGCTCAGAGTTTTTTGTAAAACCTATTTGGAACAGATTTTTAAAAATTCTTTATTGGTTAGGGCTGGGCGTGGTGGCTCACCCCTGTAATGCTAGCACTCTGGGAGACTGAGGCGGGAGGATCATTTGAGCTCAGGATTTTGAGACCAGCCTGAGCAAGAGTTAGACTCAGTCTCTACTGAAAAAAAAAAATAGAAAGAAATTAGCTGGACAACTAAAATATATATGTAAAAAAAATTAGCCGGGCATAGTGGTGCATTCCTGTAGTCCCAGCTACCCGGGAGGCTGAGGCAGGAGGATCGCTTGAGCCCAGGAGTTTGAGGTTGCCGTGAGCTAGGCTGACACCACGGTACTCTAGCCCGGGCAACAGAGGGAGACTCTGTCTCAAAAAGAAAAAAAAAAAAAATTCTTTATTGGTTATATATATTGTACATATCTTCTCCCAGCCGTTACTTTTTTTCTAACTTGCTTATGATGATTCTTCTTGCAGAGAATTTACTATCAAATTTATCAGGCTTTTTCTTTAAAATCTCTGCTTTTTGTCTGTAGAAGAATTCCTGTGCCACCAAAGGTTATAAATACATTCTTCTCCGTTTTCCTGTAATAGAGTTTTTTCACACTTAGATCCTTTCACACTGGAACTGGAGTTGATTCTCTGCATGTATGGTTTAAGGCAGGGACCTCATTTTTGCCTTTCTTTTTTCCTACGTGGAAAACTTCAAGCACACTGTTTTAATTATCAGCTAGTGAGTGACCGTGGGAAAAGAAATGCATTGTCGATTTAATCAAACTCTCCTCTGTTCTGAAACCTTCAGTATCTCTCGTACCAGACAACTGGAGGACAAATTGCTGTAACACTTAGGGTTCCCCAGGCAGAATCTCTCTTGTCTTCTTAGTCTTAATTTCTGTTATTCCACGTGCCTCAGGAAAACTGGAATAGTCTGTGTTCAAGTATCCCCTGATTTTTATATTTCAAAATTCGAGGAATGCACTTAAAGCAGCGCTTATATTTAAAAAGAAGAAAAGTTTAAAATGAGTTATTTAAACCTCCACCTTAAAATGTTAGAAAAAGAAGAACAGTAAGGATGGAAATAGTAAAGATAAGAAAAATCAATGAAATAGAAAAAAAATCAATGAATCCAAATGTGGTTCTTTGAAAGGATTAGTAAAATCGATAACTCCCTGGCTAAATTTATCCAGGTTAAAAATAAAAGAGAGAATACACAGATACCAATATCGGGAACAAAAGAAGAGACGGCATGACAGAACTTACAGACGTTAAAGAATAACAGGGAGATGTTATGTAAAATTTTATGCCAATGAATTTAACAACTTAGATGAAATGGACATATTTCTTAAAAGACACAAATAATCAAAGCTGACATGAGATGAAATAGAAAACCCGAATAACCCTGTATCTGTTAAAGAGATTGAATCCCTAATTTGGCATGATCTAGTACAGCTGAAAATGCACATACCCTATCACTGCTGGTCGTGTGCCTAGAGAAACTCTCGTACATGTGCACTGTGAGCATAGCAAAAAACTAGGACATGAGACACATGCCCATCAGGAGGGTAAATGAATGGTGGTATGTTCATACGCTAGAATAGATAACATACAGGATTAGAAATGAGTGAGCTGTAGCTACACACAACAACACAGATGGATTTCAAACATTAATACTGAGTGAAGAAAAGCAAGTTACAAAAGAATGTATATGGAATGATCCCATTTATATAAAAATTCAAAAACAGGACAAAATAAGCAGTAGATTGTTTGAGGAGATACATCAAAGTAGTGAAACTATAAAACCAAGGGAATGATAAAATTCAGTGTGGTTATTGCCTGGCTATGGGCAGGATGAGAGAGGGAAGTCACTGATACTGTTCTGTTGCCTAAATCGGGGACAGGTACCTGGGTGTGTGTTTTATTATAATGCTTCAACCTCTCCAGGTATATTTATTTATTTTGGTTTACATGTGTGAGATCCTATAATGATAAACAATTTAAGAGTAAATGAACAATGAGGAATTAGAGACAGAGTTTTGAGTATTTTTTCAAGAAGCCTAACTGAAAAGGAGGAAGAAGCCTAAGACCGAGGCCACAGGAGGGACACAGGTAGAGGGAGGGTCATGGTTATTTTTTACTTGGGGAAGTTGATCCTGTTTCTAGCCTGTGGGGCTAAGACTGGGCCTAGTGGGGTGGTGGAGGAGGAGGAGGAGCCATGAAGGGCAGTCTGGGGGCTGGTGTGGAGGGGTCAGCTCGGATTTCAGGGCCGGGCAAGTGCAGACAGAGCCATCTGACCCTCTGTCACGCTGTGCGTGGCCTCCAGACTCAGCAGGGAGGGTCCATGAAGGCCCCTTCTCGGCAGGCGTGCAGTCTTTGAGGCCCCCACAAGGAAAAAGCAGTGTGAGGCACGTGTGGTTTTTGCAGGCTGGGTGCGGTGATGGGTGGAGGTGGAAGGAAGGCAGGTGGCTCACGGCCTCGACGCCCGGGCAGACTAGAGAATCTCTGGTCTTCGCGAAATGGCAGGTGACGAGGGCATATACATTCTAGGAGTAGGACATGTGGAAGGCTCCACACCCCCAGGAATATTCCAGAGGATTCTGTAGCCAACACATGGCCAAAGACTGTGTGCATTAGAAGCTGTCCACACCAGCACTGACGCTGCTCCCCGATGGTCACGGTCACTAGGCCCTTGCTGTGGACTCGCAAGCCGGCGGGAAGCAGCATGAAGAAAGTGCAGACGTGTGGAGTGGCTCCTCCCAAACGCTCCCTGTGGCCCCTTCCCCGGCCGTGCGCTCACGCTGTCTTGTGTTTGGCCACCAGGTACGTAAAGACCTACCTGCTACCTGACACATCGTCCCGGGGAAAACGCAAGACTGGAGTCCAAAGGAACACGGTGGACCCGAACTTCCAGGAGACCTTGCAGGTAGCTGCCGGCGGATGCTCACGCGCCGGGTCCTCCGGTCCGGGCCGCGCACCCGGGGCAGAGTCCAGGGGATGGTTCTGTCAGACTCTCGAGTTGGTCAGACGTAAATGCGGACACCTGCACTTTTCTCCCTGGCTCTGGCAATCAGTGGCAAGTTGGTAGAAAATAAATTTCAGCCCTTTGTACGGGGAAAGTGCAGAGTCTGCTGGACTTGAGAATGGCTTTTGATTAATGATTTCTGAGAAAACGGTGAAAACGTTTCTGAGAACCCGCCTGCCACTTTGTCTCAGGCTACAACAGGGCACAGGGTAATTTTAAAAATTGGTTTATCTTATTGAATTTTTATGACAGAACAGCGTCTCAGGCAGAGTAACCTGAAAGTTAAATGACTGAGTTACTGTCTTTGAAAAGTGCCCCTTTGTTATAATATCTGACAAACCAAGGTTTCTTCTTCTTTTATTATGAAATTATCACGTTGTGAAAAAAAGGATAAAGGAATTATCTAGATTTTCACTATCTTTGATGTTAAGAAACCTGGTTTATGGTTGAGGGCAGAGATGGGGCCCGGTGCTCTGATTTGGGGCTGGAGCCGAGGTCCGGCGTCCTCCGAGAGTGGCTGTGGTGGCCCCGAGTGGGGACACGACCCAGTCTGGCTGGGCAGCCGGAGACCCGATGCTCTCACGCCTGGGACAGGAGAGGGCTTTGTCTGCCTGCTTGGCAAGGAGGGGCGTTTGTGAAGTGCCAGCCAGGGGCCATCTGGGCAGCTGGCACAGAGCCCTGCATTCATTGAATAATAATAGCCATTGTTTCGCGTGCCCTTGCTGTGGCCAAGCGCTGTACGTGCAGCCTGAGGGACGGTTAGAAGCCCTGTCTACCCACGGGGAGGCTGAGGCGCGGAGAGTGCTTAGAACTGCAGCTCCTTCCCAGAGCTGACGTGCAGAGGAATCCCCTGGGATTTTTTCGAAAATGTGGTTCTGATTCAGCGCGGGGGCCGGGCCTTTCCCACGAGCCCGGGCTGCGGAGCCGCTCAGACGGGCCTGCCCGCGTCCCCGCGAGAGTTTTGAAAAACTACGTGTCCCCTCACACATTTTAATTGATATCTAAAATTATTCGTCAGAAGTTTAATTAAGGTATTTTGTGCTAAGCAGAGGCTTATGAAATGAGATAAACAGGATTAACTATACTCTAGATAATTAGATATATAGTCCAATCTTAAAAGTTTTACCTACCTTATTTAAAATGCATAGAGAATCTCAAATCACTTAAAATTTTTATCCATGGGTTTAACCCAGTATGTTGTGGATATTCTGTAGCCTGGGAAACTTCCAGATACATTTAGAAGAATCAACACCTCTAGAATCTCCCAAGTTCAGAACATCCCAACACAGCCAGCCTCACCGCGGTAGAAGCGCGTGTGGATGGGAAGATGGGGAAGCCCATCCCTCGCTGTAAAAGTCCCTCGGAAACCAGCATTTCACATCATGCCTTTGTTCGGCACCCAGGAGGTGGCCGCACCTGGCCGGGAGTCATGGGGCGAGGTTTGGGCGGGTGGGTGGGCCCGTGAGAACTGTCTCTGGCCGGTATTGAGGAAAGTGCGTGTGAAAGTTGGGGACCTAGACAGCGATCCTCGGCTTCTCGGGGAGCCTTTCTGGACTCCAGGGAGACTTGCACCGGATTTGAGACCATGTCACCGGGGCCTGGGGAGGTGAAATGAGAAGCCAGGTCTGGGCGACGCTGGTCATTGCCTGGCCTGTTCTCCAGTGTCCCTTACACTCTGTACCCAATAGAGCCTGGGGCAAGCCTTGGGGACCTAACAGGGCCATGGTCCCCCGCAGGGAGTAGTCCTGTCTGTCAGAAAGGGGTGAGCACTGGGCGAGGACCCAGGGAGAGGCAGCCTGAGCATCTGAGGGAGTCACATGGGGCTGGCCGAGCGGCCACAGCAGAGGCGATGGCCCTGCCCAGCCTCGCTGCTCGGAGGGAACCAACTTCTCTGACTGGTGTGGGGCCGGGATCTGGGAATGACCAGATGGAGTCAGAGTTTATAGACAGAGGGAGGAATGTGTGAGGCAGGGTGGGAGATGGATCACGGACTTGAGGGAAAATAGACTAAAAATTAGCCAGAGGCAGTAGAAAAGGGAATGTGGCCCAAGAAATTCTGACCTTAGGGGCCACAAGTCATCCCAGTAGGGAGGACGCCAGCGAGGAAGCCAGCCCGGGGACGGCAGAAGTGTGGACAGAGCCTGGGGAGGCAGAGGGACCCTGCTTGGTTTCCATCTTGTCCCTGAGTTAGAAAGATGGCCAAAGGTGGCCCAGCGGAGCTGACCCCAACAGGCAGACTGCGTGTCCACTGTGCGTCCAGCCTCAGCGCGACAGCCGGGGCGGAGGAGTCAGGCTCAGGCTGGGCGTGGCAGCTGAGTCCAGCCGTGGTGACAGCTGACATGAGAGAGGGCCACTGGATTCCCGAGCTTCTGTCTTTTCACCTGCAAATTGGTGATTAATAACACTGACCTCATAGGATGCTCGAGAAAGCTAACAAGGGATGTATCTAAAAAGCCTGGCACGAAGTAAGGGTTCAGTAACTTACAGCTTTTGTTCGTTAGTGAGAAAATCCAGTAGGCTTAAAACAAGGCCCTTGGAGGCTGAGGTGCAGTCAGCCGGCTCTGCGGTGTCACCACCTCCGGGGGAGTGGGGACAGTTCTTCAGACGAGAGAGGCCCCTGCCCTGACGGCACCAGGACCCCGGCTCCCGCCCAGTTTTGGGCTCAGCCTGCGGAAGGAGGCGGGCGGCCCGGAGCTGCTGACGCATCTGCTCTGCCTCCGCAGTATCAGGTGGACCCCACCCGGCTGGGGACGCGGCGGCTGCAGGTCTCTGTGTGGCACCTGGGCACACTCGCCCGGAGAGTATTTCTTGGAGAAGTGATCATTCCTCTGGCCACGTGGGACTTTGAAGACAGCGCGACACGGTCTTTCCGCTGGTATCCGCTCAGGGCCAAGGTGATGTCTGGTTTGGGACTGAGTGCCCCTCACCCCCACTGTGAGAATTAACTTGCTTTTCAGAGAGACCAAGAGAGAAAACTCATCTAGCAAGACTTGGCCCCAAGACATAGTACGTGTCACCTGGCCTGTTGGCTGTGACTTCCAAATAGGAACTCCGTAGGCAAGAAAAGGCTCAACACCGAGCTTTCCTGGGTGGGTTAGGCCGAGGGTTTTCTTTGACCTGCCGGGGTTTGTTCAGGAGCCCGAGTGGCTCCACGCTCAGCTGTACACACCAGCCTGGCAGCTGGTGGGCTCTGCCTAGGCCCTCGCCGTGCGTCTGCCTGGGGGCTATCGTGGGTTATTTCTGGACTCTCAGCCCCAGGTCCTCCCAAAGCAATAATAGGTGACAAATGCCATCGGGAAGGCAGAGCCCAGCCCTGACTGGGACGTGGGGTCCCATGTTCCCGCTCTGGACTCGCACAGCGGGAGGTAGCCGGCAGCCGGGTGGGCGGAGAGGCCGGGAGAGGAGGAGCTGCCGTGTCTGACTTAGTTAGGGTCGGTGCACGCTGGGCTAGCGCTTCTCAGCGATGCTGCTTTGCACGTTTCTGTGCCAAAATCCAAGACAGACGGGCCTGTCACACTGTGAGGGAGCAAACATCTCTTTAAGAAATGACAGCACGAGGCACCACTCCCCTCGCCCACGGGGCCACAACAGCAGGGCACGAGTGCCATCTGGCCTCTCGTCCTCTCTGAAGCCAGCACAGCTGGGATTCGTGATCTCTCTGCTGGGAAGCTTTTCTGGTTTCTAGCCACCATGGAGTGAAGCCAAAGGCCCCTTCCTGGGAGCCGCCTGTCCCACCTCCTGCCATGGTCCTGACCGCTGCTCGGGGCTGCGCCTGCACCCACTGTCGCCTGTGCTGCTCTTCTCATGCCTGAGTCCATGCTCAGACCTCCCCTGCCAGTGTCCCCTGGCATGCGCTCCCTATCCATGTTGGCCTGGGACATCGCTAAATCCCATCCCCTCTAGGAAGCCTTTCCTTACTGTCCCCTCCAGAAGTGGTCTCCCTTCTAGGACCCAGTACTGGGGTGCCCTGCCCACATTCCCCTGCTTAGGATCCAGTACTGGGGTGCCCTGCCCACCTTCCCCCAACTTAGGACCCAGTCCTGGGGTGCCCTGCCTGTCTTTCCCTGCTCAGGATCTAGTACCAGGGTGCCTTGCCATCTCTGTGCCTCTTCAGCCTTGATGTCTCTTCACTCCTGCCCCAGCCGTGCTGAAACAGCCCGTGTCTGGCTCCTGTGCCTCTCACACTGCCCCTGTATCTGTCCTTTCTTCAGGGAGCACAGCTCCTCCAGGGCGCCCTCCCCAGTTCCCCGCCTGAACACTCTCTGTCAGAGCTTGAGCCTTCCTTGCACTCTGCCTCTCCCACTCCTCTGCTGTCAGCTTGAAGGCAAGGCCTGGACCTTCTCTGTGGCCCACACCTAGCACAGGCCCTGGCATCAAATAGGCCACCAAGGCTTGTCACACGGCGCCTGCCTTGGCAAGTGGGTGAGAAGCGGTGAGCAACAAGCTAGAAGGCACCTGTGCCAGACCCGGGGGCTTGGACAGGAGGGGGCTGTGGGGCTGGGCCCTCAGTTTCCGGCAGCTGAGGGTGGAGGCAGCCGTATCTCATTTGGCACCCAAGGGCCAAGAGAGCTGCTTCACGCAGACAGACGGAGCCTGCCCACACAGGCTGCCAGGAGTCCTAAGCCCTCCACGGTTAACTGGGAGGGTGGCTTCTCACTGCTGGGGGGCCAGAGCGTACTGAACATATCTAGACCCCACCCAGTACTCCGTATGCTTCTCCTACCCCGCTGGGTGAAAGAGTGATTAGATTTCAGGATTCTCTCTTCTCTGGGCTATTCCTTCACTTTCTGGCAAAATTGCTCATGACCAGAGAAGCCACTGTGTAGGCAGGGAGGTGCCCCTAGAGGGTCGGGGACAAGATGGAGACAAACTTGCCACACCTGTGGCTTTGGGCAGAGCCTGCAACCCCCTTGTGCCTCCAGCACCTGCGGCAGTCCTTGCTATGGAAGGGTAACGAATCAATAATCAGTGGAGGGCGGGGGGTTGAGTTTATTTACCTTTTGCAAACTCAGGCTGCATCCAGGTTTCCCCAGGACCTCTAATGGGAACGTGCAGCGCCCTTTGAGCCCTCCCTGCTGCCTTGGTCCTGTGTCCCTCTGGTGTGCGGGGGCTGCAGGGTTGTTCCTCCCCGTGCTACGGGTGGAGAGGGTGGGACATGCCTGCTCCATCCAGGACTCTTCTGGGCCTGAGAGGCTTTGCAGGGGTCTGTGGACAGAGTTGAAGCAACCAGGGGCCCAGAAGGTTCTAGGCACCTGGGGAATCCTGCCTCTGAGCTCTGCTCTGACCCCCAGGCTGAGAAATGCGAAGATGGCGTTCCTCAGAATAATGGAGAACTTGCAGTCCGGGCCAAGTTGGTCCTCCCTGCAGGACCTAGAAAACTCCAGGAGGCTCAAGAAGGTAGGTGGTCTCTAGCCCCCTGAACATTTGTCACTGTCCCCAAAGCCTGGAGAAGCAGGCAGGCTGAGAGGTGGGCAAAGTGCGTTCTAGCATTTCCTTCCTACTGCCCCCGATCCTGTGCTCCCGCAGCTCTCACGAAGAGCTGTGGGGTCAGCCTGGGAAGGGCTCTCTGGAACACACAGTGTGGGAGGGCAGCGGCACCAGAAGCAGGCAAGGCCTCCAATGCCCACTTCACACCGCTCTGGGGACGCTGGCCCTAGGCCTGTCTCCCAAGGGACAGGTTTGATGGTCCCTGGTGATGCGGAGGCCCTGCTAAAAGAGGAAACACTCCATGTCAATGTCGTGGGTGGGAAGTTTGCCTCTTTCAGAACCGAGAGCACATCTCAAGGCACTGGTACCTGCAAGGCTCAGAGTGGATTCTCCCCTGCTCCCTGTCACACGAGCAGCTGCTCCCAGCAAGAGAAGCCAGTCACGGAGGACAGGCCCTGGGTGCTGTTGGAGACTTTACCCTCTTAGATAGCGTGGGGCACGTGGAAAATGGGAGGGTGAAGAAGGAAGACAGGGAGAATGCAGTTCCCACAGGGCATTGCAGCGACCTCCTATTTGGCTGCAAGAGGAAATGCTTACTTCCCAGGCTCACAGGCCGCAGACCGGCAGCACCTGTACCCTTCCCAACCCCCAGCAGGGTCTTGGGGTTCCCACTTTCCCAAAAACTGCTGGCTACAGACTGAAACTTGTACACTTGTCCTCTCCCTGGGCTCCTCTGTACTCCTGTGCTAGGACTCTAGCAGTCCCTCCACCCTGTCCTGCTGCCTATGTGGCGGGCCAGCATGGGCAGGGCCAGCAGAGCCTCCCCTTATCTGTTGTCTTAGGGCCTGAAGATGCTAACAGAGTGCTGAGCTATCAGTTTGGGGGGGTGTGGCGCTGCACACTGGTGTTATCAGGAGAAATGGGCTTGATGGTAAATACTGGTTTTCCTTCCAGGGACAGATCAGCCGTCACTTAACGGTCAACTCTGTTTGGTAGTGCTGGGAGCCAAGAATTTACCTGTGCGGTCAGATGGCACCTTGAATTCATTCGTGAAGAGGTAGGTACTGGATGTAACCAAACGTTATTTATTGATGATCCAGTACACACATGGCATGGTATAGAATAGGGTTAAACTTGTCTTGTTTCAGCTTTCCTATGAAAAACTAATATAACACATATTAAAGACCCTGATTTCCAAGAATTCATGGGATGTGGACATGCTGGGGCTAGATTTGAAATAGTTCTTGGTACATGAGTAAGTCAGTTTTGAAATCAAGCATGACAAAGCAGCGTGTTCTTTAGCTGAACATGTCCTCTTGGATCACCATTCGAAGGGATGACTCTCCATACTGCACTCTTACTACCGGGGTGTTGGAACCTCTAAAGTACAGCAAATGCCAGTGATTACTGAATTGCTAAATCTCCAGTGACCAGGGAAGGCCTACTGGGTCAAGACAGCACTGAGGTTGCTTATCTGCATGCCTTGGGCAAGTTACTTACCTTTCTGAGTTTATTTTCCCCAGAACAGAGTTAAAATGTAGTCATGGCAGTAGGCGCACCCAGGAGAGATTAAGGTGCAGCCACAGGGCCTCAGAATCCCAACTTACCCTTTATATTCAGCTCCAAGAGAAATTTGGGACGTCCTAGCGAAAGGTCCTGGAGCGTCCCGGGATCCCCATTCTAGGTCCTTGTGTAGGATGCTGATTTTGTAGTGGATTTAGTGCTTTCTTAGCCCTGCTGGTCTATAAGCATCCCTGGGGAAGGGAGACTGGGGGCAGGGGGCAGTTACTGCAGGGCTTTGTGTTTCCCTCCTCTAGTTGTCTCACCCTGCCAGACCAACAAAAGCTGAGGCTGAAGTCCCCAGTCCTGAAGAAGCAGGCCTGTCCCCAGTGGAAACACTCCTTTGTCTTCAGTGGCGTGTCCACGTCTCAGCTGAGGCAGTCAAGCTTGGAGCTGACGGTCTGGGACCAGGCCCTCTTTGGCGTGAACGACCGCCTGCTGGGGGCAGCCAGACTTGGTTCAAGTAAGTCTAAGACACTCGTTGGGTCCAAACAACATTGCTTATCCCAAGTGATTGCCTTACATGGAAACCACAAAAAGAGAAAAATGCTTCCACAGTGGCAGCAACTTAAACTGACTATGAAATTGCCCGACCTGCCGTAAATGGAAATTCCTAAGACTAGCTCTTATTCTACAACTGAGCGATAATACAGTAAGGTATTTTGACAATTTAAATCAGATTTAGATCTGCCAAAAAAACAAAAATTATAGGCCTCAAAATGGGCTAGGTACAGTATTTGCTTTTGTTTCTGGCATCAATCATAAAAGGATTATTTTCTTAAAGGAATATATCTTCTTAACTCAAACAAACAGCAATTCAGAAAGAACTTCATTAAGAGTGGGACAAAATAGCAATGCCATCCAGAGTTGCTCAATAGCGGTGCTGCTGGCACTGTGGGTGGACCAGCCCTTTGCTGGGGGGCATCTGTGCCCTGGCCACTCCCTGCTGGTTGCCAACAGTGCCCCCCCCCCCCAAACACTGCAGCAACCAAAAACACCCCCTGCAACGACCTCCATCCAAGAACCACCAAAGATAAGAAAGAAGATTAAATTACAACTTTTTAAAGGGCTGTTGTCCAAAGCATACGTTCTTCCTCTGAGCAACAAACCCCCGGCCCCATCTGGGATGGGTCGCGCCCAGCCCTAGCCTCACCAGGGTATTGAGACTGTCCCCTGTGCTGGTGGAGAACCAGCCTACCAAGCCAGAGTCCTGGCCTCACTTTAAAACCACAGGAGAGGAAACTGCTCTGGGCGTGTAGGGCCTCGCAGCACCTGAGGAATGCCTGAGCCCTTCCCTTCTCAACACCGGCTCTGCTTACTCCTCAGTAGTTGGCATTTTCATATGGTCTAGAGTTCAGGTGACGAAATTCCTAAAAAGCTGAGGGAAGAGACAAAGGAGGTGTCCTCGTCCACCGTTACTAACGTGTCCCACTCACGTTGCAGAGGGAGACGTGCTTGGCGGCGTGGACGCGTGCTCACAGTCAAAGCTTCAATGGCAGAAAGTTCTTTCCAGCCCCAACTTGTGGACCGACATGACGCTTGTCCTGCACTGAGGCGAAGGCTCCACAGCCCCAGGCTGAAGGGGTGAGAAGCGCTGCGTGCCTGCGAGGGGCCACAGCTGGGTGAGACCCTCTGGACAAGCGTCTCCACCTGCAGTCGCGTCCTGTGGGTAAAGCACCTGTTGATATCTGTGTGTATTTAAGTTAAACAGCAATTACCCGTGTTACGTCAGTCAGTCTCTGGCAGGTTGTATATCTGAGACATGGAAAATGGCCAGTTTCAATAAATGTTCAGTCGCTGTGTCTCCCAGAGCTTGTCGAGTAGTGACAATTACAGCTTTGTCACGTGCACTTAGAAGAGGCAGCTGGTGATTAAGATCCTGCATCCTCTCCGTGGACAGCCATTTCCAGAGCTGGCCGGCCCACAGGGTGCTGGGAGACCAGGCAGCTCTGCGACAGGCCCTCCTAGTTATAGGTCTGCGGTGTGGGATTCATGTGCACGTGAAAAGGAAGGACATGAGTGAGCAGAACCAATGGCCCACAGAAAGTGATGTCCATCCTCACAGCTTTTCAAGGTTGTGGAACCAGAGCAAAGTTCTTCTGGTGAAAACGCAGAGAGGCACCGACCCAGTGCAGTCCCGTCCTGGCTGGAGTCTGAAGGGTCATGATAGTGTGTTGTGTATTTTCCAAACAAGCAGCTTTGACAGACGACTGGAGTGTGCATAGTCAATGACATGCGCAAAGAACACTAAATCATTTTTACAGATGTGATTAATCAGCTTATCGCTGCCCTCACATCAAGTGCTGTGGTTACATGGCTTTAATAGGTAATTTTATTATTCTGTAAAAGGTAACAAAATATACAGAACGAAACTTTCCCTTTTTAGAACTAATGTTACAAACCCACGTTATCACTTATAAATACTATACTAGAGCTGATCATTAATTAGGTATAAGTCCAACAATGTATCTTCTGTTAAGCAAAACCCAAAAAAACATTTTAGAAAGTTTATCCAAGCGTGTCCTCCTGCAGAGCTCATGCTCAGTGCACACTGTGGTTCTGCCTCAGCCACAGACTGACAGGAGGGAAATAATTTGTGTGTGTGAGTGCTTCACATGCAATCTTAATTTTCACCCCTCAAAACACAAATATATAAAGATGGATCCTTCATAGAAATCAAAAAAATCAATTTGAGTTCATTTCAAATACAGAAAAAGTATGGCACAGATTTAAGCCATGATGTGGTTTTCTTTAATGATACTAATTTTGTATCACACAGGCCAGCGTGAAGTTTGTTACCCACACTTCATAGGCACTTTCCTTAATTCAATCAGTCCTACTCCAAGCACAATATAGGAAGTAATTCAACAATAATCATAAAAATCAGGCCTGTTTGGCACTATGATACAATTGTAGAAAATAAACCAGGGAAGCTTCCACTGGTTCCCAGGGAAGCTTCCACTGGTTCCCAGCCCAGAATATTTCTGCCAGGATAAATGCTCTTTTTAAAGGAACTGGGATGCGATAAGGGGGGTTCCTAGATTTGGAGTACTAAAGATACAAGCGTGACAGGCTGGCAGTGGCCCTCGAAGCAGCATGCTGCGAAGTGCCCCACTGCCCTCGGTCCTGGCCATTACATGGCCTCAAACTCATCGATCCGCTGCTTGGTGTTGCCCTGCCGGATCTGCCGCAGAGTCTTGTACTTGTCCCGGCCTTGCCTCATGTTCTCATTGTGGATGATGTCATTGTGGGTCCTCTTATTCTCATCTCTGGCCTGGGACAGCTCATTGCTCAGCGTCTGCAACATAAAGCATCAGTCAGGTACCTCCCTCTTCCCCAGTGCGGCTGGGCAGCCAGACGGCACCCCCTGGGAAAAGGGGGGGGGTGCTGGGTGGGGCTGGATCATCTGGTTGCCCTGTCTAAAGTGCAGCAGACCCGATGGACAGGGCCCACCCCTCACCAGCAGCTGCCGCTGCACACGCTCGTTCTTCTCGGCTTCAGTGATGCGCTTCTCCTCCTTGCGGTCATCCAGGATGCCCTCGCTGGACAGCTCGGCGCTGTAGCCCATAGACTCTGCACCCTCATCCTGCAGGCCCTCCTGGACATGGTAACCGACTGGCTCGTACATGGGGGGTGGCGGGGGTGGGGGAGCTGTCATCACCAGGTGCAGCTCCTCCTTAGTCTTCACCAGGTCATCCTGGGCTTCTTTGGCCTTTTGAAAGCAAATTAACAGACAAGTGAGAAGCCAGAACCTGTGTGTATCGCTGTGGACTGTTTTCTTTAAGAAGAGGGACTCTGTTCCCGGCCCTTCCCCTGGCAGGCTGCAGGAGCACAGAACCCAACTGGGCCACTGCTTATCAGAAGGCCCCTTGGGCAGGGTCTGGCACTCTGTCATCCATCATGTCCACAGCAGGAACAGAAAAACTGCGACATGACACCAGAGCCCCGGTACTTTTTAAAATATCATTTCTTTTTTTCTGTCAATAATCCTAGTGTATGTTCATTAATTTTTTTCAAAAATGTATACAGAGCAATAAACACAAATCCTCCAGCTACTGGAGAGTCGCCAGTAAGGGGCTTTGTGCTCCTTGCTCTCTCCTTGGGGGCTGTTACCTATTAAGCACTTGCCCGCCCACCACTGCCAGGCCCTCGGACGTGTCCACACAGCACACACACTCCATCCCTGGAGATGGGCTTAGTTTGTATCTGCTTTGAAACCAGCTTTTCACTTAATTCTTTATAATGCATAGTCTCTCCGAAACCTAAGAACTGAGGTCTTCTGTGCGCAACTTGGCTCGGGGAGCAGGCATCGGAGGTGGAAGAGAAGCAGAGGGGAGATACACCCCAGAAGGGGACCACCACAGATGAGGAAGCCACAAGGGGAAAGGACAGGCCGGAGGGTCTGTAAGGGACAGGAACCTGCCAAGGCTTGGCGTTAAGTCTACAACGTGCACCATCCCCAACCTCCCGGTCAGTAGGCCTTTCCACAGCACCCGGCTGTATATACCAGCTGTCAGGAGGTCTTGTTTCTGGTGATGCGACCTCATTGCAGGGGGCACCCATATAAGCGGATTTAAAACCAGTTCTTGATTGGGGGCTGTCTGATCACGGCTGAACAGTTCAGGGTGGTCGGGGCAAGTGGGTGGAAGTGAATAAGGAATTCTTTGTTTCTCTCCTAACACTGGCACTCACTAGTGCAAAAGGTCAAGCCCATTCCTGTGGGGATTTCTGCTTCACCAGCACAGCTGGCATTGGCAGGATTGTGAAGCATCCCAGAAGCTTCCAATGGGACCCATCCGCTGAGCCAGCACCCACCCATCCCTGGCGCAGGCAGCGTGCCCACTGGCACGAGGGAGCCACGCACTCACCCTGTGCTGCCACTCTTCAACTTCATCCTCCTTGCGCCTCCTGGCCTCCTCCAGGAGGGCGATCTTGGCAGTGTACTCTGCAAGCTCCGTAGCCTGGGAAGGGAATGTGTAGCTAGAGGGAGTTCTGGAACCCTTTCAACACAGTCCATTGGTGAATGAACACCCATGCTGGGGAACCACCTCTGCCCCTGTCCCTCTCTATTTCCCTGAGGCTGGCAGGACCCACCCCCGACGGGAGACACAGACAATGGCACGGCCCCCTCCCCACCAGCTGCTTCACCCCCAGCAGACTGCCTTTCAGTAATGAAAATCATTACAAAGCAGGTGTAGCTTTTTCGGTCCCCAGAAGCAGCCTCTCTATAATTCAGCATCTTGAAACTCCGATTCCTACCAGCTGCTCCTGGCTCTTTATCTGATCCACTGTCTGTCTCTCCAGCTCCTCCTTGGCCCGCAGTGCAGCCACACGGTCAGCCTCTAGGCGCTCAGCCTCCTCCTGGGCCCGTTTTCTCTCCTCCTCCAGCTGCAAGGCTCTCTGAATCTGCTCCGAGAGTTCTGAAGAGAGGACACAAAGCCAGAGCTGCTCAAGCCCTCAGGCCTTGGGTGTCCTGGCCTTCATTCCAGCCCAGGGGGAATCGAGTCAGATCGAGGGTAGAAACCACACCCAAAACCACAAAGCCCTAGACCGAGCTATAGGTTGATGGAACTTCTTCCAGGATACTGGAGAGGAAGCACTTCACGGTTCATTCCAGTTGTGTTTCTATGACAACTTCAAGATGGCTGGAAACCATTGTACAAAGCTGGTCAGCCGTGCCCTACGCACAGGTCTAACTCCAGCACCCTCTTGGCACCACACTCTGCAGGCTGGCCCCTGCTGTGCATAGTCACCACCCGGCACTCTGCTTAGAACACAGCAATGCCTTTTCCAAGTGTTTTAAAGGTGTCCAGTGAGTGCAGCTATCTCCCCACTAGAACGAAAGCCCCTCGAGGCCCGAACCAACACCCACTAGAGCTGTCAAGGATGACTGGAGGTTCTGGGGGGTCTGCCCTTGGGTTTGCATGAGGGGCAGTGTGGCCTGGCTCTGCCACTTACTGGCTGTGTGACTGTGGGCAAATTACCTCACTAAACCTCAACGTCCTCATCAGGAAAACAGGGCGATTCAGCACTTACCTCAAAGTACTGTGGGGGAACACTTAAAAAGACAATGTGCATAAAATAATTAGGTCGGAAGTTAATAAAGTACAGGAACATTTCCTAAACCAAATAATCGTCTGATCATTTCTGTTACAAGTCTATACTTTGGGGTATTGTGTTTAATTGAGATACATGTTCTGGGGAAGTTTTCCTTCTCAGTTGTATGCTGCGCCTGTCTGTGGAAATACATAATCAGATGTGCCACGGGCCACCCCCAAAATAGTGCCTTTCTGACGGCAGCCCCACCTTTCTCTGCCTTCTTGGTTTTCTCCTCGTAGTCCTGCAGCCTGAGCATCAGCTCCTCCTTCTCACGCATCATCTGTTCCTTCTCTCTCTCAACAGTTTCTCTCCTTTTCTTCTCAGTCTCCAACTGTTGCCTGGTACAGGAAAAAGGTGGCACAGGGAGATTCAGACTCTGGCACACAAGGAGAGGTCAGGACACTCCAGCAATCAGCACCTGGGCTAAGGACTGAGCCCAACATCCTGGCTGAGA